TGCCCAGACACCCTTAATACCCCTCAAGATCCACGAAATTCTCCTTTGCCAAATAGTTGGCCCTATCTTTACACCAAACATCAGCCGGTTAACGAGGTAGACTCCCTTGGTAGTTGAGATTGTCTGAATTCTCGAACTTTCTTCATCCATCATAATGTTCAAATATGCCTGTCTTATGTCCAGTGTCATGAAGATCTTTCCTTTTCCTATTCCCGTAAATATATCTTCCGTCCTTGGAATAGGAAAAGTGCAATTCTCAACAAAGCGGTTCATCGTTATCTTGTTATCCACACATACCCGAATAGTGCCATCTGGCTTAATCGATACTACTGGCGTTCTCCATTCACAATAGTTTGTTTTTGTAATCACCCCTTCCGTTTCCAGGCGGTCTATTTCCTTTTCAACCTTTTCTCTGAATGAATATGGTAAAACACGGAGATTTAAAAACAGGCTGTGTTCCTCCTTCAGCTGAATATTTCTCCTAAACCCAGGAATTTCACCTGGCACATCATTGTAGCAAATTGGCACACACTATAGTAAAATCCTTTTTTGGTTCATTTGAAATTTTTTTTTTTTTTTTTTCATCTACTAGATTCGTGATTGCCATGGATTGCTCTATTCCATCCATCTTTATAAGAGCCATCTATTCACGGCCAAATGTCAGCTGTACCTTCCCTAGTAGAACACATATATTTCCTTGAGCTTCCTGGTTGTTATAATTGATGGCAACCGTAGTGAATCCCCTCGGTTTTATCACTTCTCCCGTATACGTTGTTAGAACTAAATTTGTGTTTTTTAGTTCAGACTTATTTTTGATTTTTCGAAAATCCTCTTCTGAAATTGTCGACACTGTAGACTGTCATATTCAAAAGTGACTGCTTTGTCATCTATTAAGACATTTTACTAAAATGCGCTTAGGTTTCGGAGATACTTCCAGAATTAATTTGGATTTGAATAGGCGAATATTCACCCTGCCACCCTTCCAACATTGCCCTCCGATGTTCACTATCTTCTTCCTCGTTCCCAATCTGCCTGACCTCAGCCCCTTTCGCCTGCCACGACAGGCCCTAGCTATGTGTCCATACCCTAACAGATTGCTGTTTTGAACAGGCAATCCTCCGATATGTGACGCTCTGAGCAACACCTGTGCCAATTTCTTCTTGGCTCTCTTTTAGTTCTTTGCCGTTTACTTGTTATCTCTGCCAAACTTCCATTAGCCTGGATGAGGGTCGCCCTCCTGGCAAGCCTTTTCCATGGTTTGTGCAAGCTCCACACATTCAGCTAAAGTCATGTTTTCATGATTTCTTAATAATTCCTTCAGAATAGCTTTATTTCTAAGGCCAGCTATAAACTGCGGTCTAATGTGTGCATCCAGTATGGAACTTTTGTACTTTACATACGTAAATTTACAATATTTGGCTATTTTCCTTAATTCTGTTAAATATGTTCTAACTGACTCACCTTCTTGCTGTTTTCTGGAGGTGAATGCTTGCTGTTGAGCGATGACGCTCGGCCTTGGGTTTAATTAGGCCTCAGCAGCTTCCACTACTTCCTGGTAACTCTTAGAACTCGGATTTTCCAGGCTGAAGTGATCAGATAATTGTTGGTAGGTGTCAATACCCATGGTATGAATTAAAATTTGAGATATCTTCTTTCCTTGCCTTTTGTTGATCTCCAGCATCTCAAAGTAATTCTTCAGCCAACTTATAAACGAGTCATGTTTCTAAATCTATATTAAAATGTTCAAACTTACTGCTGTACCATCCGCTTCTTCCATCCTGTCCTTTGTCCCTGTCTTTTATTTTCTTATCTAAAACAACGTATTGTGTCTTCTTTTTTCTGCTCATTTTTTTAATCCTCGTTGCCACTTATTATGTAATAAGAGAGTTATTATTGATAAAGAATATTTTTCATAACTTTGTTGGCTCTCTGCATTTTTCTATACTATGTGGACATATGTTTTTTATAAAAAATATTGATTATTGAAAATCTAATTAACACGATATAATACCCACCAAGATATTTAACAGACAATATGCAAGACTATTCTATGATGTACTTGACATTGTTATAAATTATTTTACAAGCATAATTTCATCAATTTCTAAAAACATTACAGACTTAAGTAACTCTGAGAAACTGTCATACAAAAGTTTCCTCTAACTATATGATGAAATCATTCACATCTGCTAGGCAAACTGTTTACTATCTTGATTTAATTAAAATTGAAAGTTTAAATTATATACAGGAAGGAGATGGTCCGGGGTTGCGGTCATAAATAGGCTAAATAGTGGTAAAACTATTTTATTGAAAGCCAACTTTTCGACCCAACTTTGCAGGTCTTTATCAGGGAGATGTGTTCATCTAGGAGTTTCACTTAGAACTACTTTCACTTAGAATCAGTTCTAAGTGAAACACGTAGATGAACACACCTCCCTGATGACCTGCAAAGTCGGGTCGAAATGTTGGCTTTCAATAAAATAGTTTTACCACTGTTTAGCCTATTTATGACCGTAACCCTGGACAATCTCCTTCCTTTATAATGCAACGGTCAACTATTAAATATTCAATTAATTTAAATTATATACATTTTTAGTAAAGTGAAATATTCATTTATGAACACTTATATCACTGTTTATTAAATTTATTTATTACTTACAAAGCTTGTATATTAAAGGGAAATGAAATTGAGATATAAAGAGTTATGTATGCTTTGGAAAGCATTTCAGTTTGTATGAAATGTGTGCATTTACCATAGGGAAAAAGATTACTTGTCTAGAATGCTTTTATATTTGATTTGAAATTGCCCATTTACTTTCAGTTGGCATAAGGTTCTTAGGCTTAGAATTCCTTTAATCTATTGTTTAATTCTAGAACAATCAACATAAAGTTTTACTGAAACATGATTGATCAAAAATTGGATAAAAATTATACATGTATGTATCCAATAATTAACAAATTTTATCAATTGAAACAGCTATTCACAAAACCAATGTCAATATTGTAATTATTTATTATTGTTTTCAATTTTTGTGAAAATTTCTCTTTCCAGAAATTATTCTGAAATTTGATTGTGATATTTTCTAATCATTATTGGCTTTAAATTTACAATTGTAACTCCAATTCTGCTCAAGATATATAATTGAGGAAGTAGTAAGTAGAACCATAAATTTTTATGCAAAAGAAGTTATTATTATTTCAATTTTTTCTTCTTTGTATTTATTGAATGAGTTCTGTAATTCATTATTGATGCTCATTAATTCTTATGTACAGTGGTGTGAAAAAGTCTTCAAACAAACCAAATTATTACAAAAACAATAACTGTTTCAATTTATAAAAGTATTTTTATCTTCTTGATTGTTAACTGATTTAACCTTGCAAACATTTTAGATGCAATTCATATTTAAATCAGCATTATTTTTAATTAACAAGCCCAGGAACCAATCTGTTATATTGATGTTATTTTATTCTCTGAATATTGCTACATTATTGTTTAAATTTCACTACTTTGTTATCCACTTCAATCTTTATTCTTTATTGTTAATATCAAGAGCCATTTTATAAACTCTGGGAAATTGATTGTATCTGTGGAAATTGGTTGAATATTGAAACTCTTTACAATTTTCAGTAATTCAGTTTAACATTCAATATTTCATAATTTTCTTTTTATTTAATGTTACTATTATTTCAGGGCATACAGCGAAATATCATGTTTTTTGAGTGTTATCTTGCTGAAAAAAAGTTACCAATCAGCTTCCAATTCCAGATGGTATTGCATGATAGGTAAGAATGTTAAGGTACCATCTTGCTTCGAGTTTTCCATCTATTCACAACAGGTCTTCGATTCCAGATCTAGAAACACACTCCAAACCATTAAGAGTTTACCACCTCCGAGTTTTACTTAAGGTTGCAAACATTCATCCAAAATTTTTATTCCATATCTTCTCTAACATATTACCTTCTTCCAGAACCAAACATTTCAAATTTTGACCCATCTCTCCATAAAAAATTGTTCCATTATTCTTCCGTCCGACTTTCATGTTCTTTGGCAAACTTAAGTTGCCTTTTCTTGTTAAGAGACTGAAGAAATAGTTTTTTCTGGGAAACACAAACTTTAAGACGTAATTATATGAGTTTTCCTGGGTCCTTGTAGCATCAGCTATTTCCTGAGGCAGTTTGTTATATTTTTAACAGTTGTGCTTCTACAATAATTTTAATTCTTGTTCAACAGCAGGCTCATGTTTTTTAGATGTGCCTGAATCTTCAAGTCTCTAGTTAGCGTGTTTTTATACAACAATTTAATGACATGTTGAATTCCAGAAATAGGACCTTCAACTTCCTTTTGATTTTTACTTATAGGAAGTTTTCGTTGATCCAAAATTATAATTTTATGTCGGTCGAAAATTTCATATTTTCTGAAATAAAAATAACATTAAATAGAAAACAAAAGAAATTATAAAATATGGAATGTTAAATTAAATTTCTGAAAAAAAAAAAAATCAGAATACCAATATTAAGACAATTTACACAAATATACTCAGCTTCCTAGAATTTATACAACGACTTTTGTTGTTAAGAATAAAGAATAAAAACTGAAGTGGATAACAAAGTTGTGAAATTTAAACAATAAGGTAGCAGCATTATTCAACCCCTAAAAATAATGTCAACACAACAGATTTGTGTGCAAATTAATGTTAATTTAAATATATAATGCATCTACTATGTCTGCAAGATTAAATCAATTTACAGTCAAAAAGATAAAAACATTTTAAAACTTTTGGTTTGTTCCAAGACTTTTTCACACCACTGTATTTCTAGAGCAGAATTATAGTTGTATTGGAATTGCCATGAAAATAAAATTCTTTAAATGTAAGTTCAATTGAATAATTATTTATAACCTTAACAGATTGATTAATGATAAAACATTTTTTTTTAAATTCTAAATGTGTACTTATTTGCCAAGTTGTTTCAATATGTTAATTATCTAAATTTTACTTTAGGTAAGAAGCTTCAGTGTCCATTCTGTGAGAGGTTGTATGGGTATGAGACAAATCTACGTGCACATATACGGCAGCGACACCAGGGAATTCGAGTCCCATGCCCATTTTGTTCGCGTACTTTCACACGGAACAACACCGTCCGGCGTCACATCGCTCGTGAACATAAAACAGAGCTATCGCTCAAAGCCTTCCAACCTCCACAACCTCAGGTACAAAATCACAACCAGTAGCAGCGATCACTTGACTGTCATCTATCGTTAGCAACTTATCAACCTCAACGCATATACCTCATTTGATCTTTTTATTTTATTATTTTATACGTAAATATATATATTATTGTTATTTTTTCTTACAAGAAAGTAATAATCGAGCATATAACAGTAGGTATAATAGTTTTAATAATATAAAGTTTATAATGAATAAAGGTGCTGAAAAAGAAGAAAAGGTTTTAGCAAGGAGATTTAAGAGGATTATAATATTTTGTTTTACTTCGTTCAATAAATATTTTTTGTTACTAAGCTATTGTACTTAGTTCACTGGAACATGCGAATTATTTATCAGTGGCTAGGTACATAGTTTCATTTTATAGAGTTGAATTCTTTTGAAATCAACTTTATTGCCTATCTGTGATTTAATAGTTGTTGAAATATTTACAATTGATTCTGTTTGCTAATGCAAACTTTTTCTTTTTTTTCACCACCATATATATGAAACAAATGGTTCATAAAAACAGTGTTGTAATTGTTTTTAAACCGCAACTATAATTTTGATATATGACATTGTTATTAGCATAAGCATACTGAAATAGATAAATTGAAATATTTTATTTTTATTTTCTGGTGTTTATAAACAAGGCACACATTGCTTACTCCTAAGGGTTTAAGTCTGATTTTGTGTGCTTTGTGGTTTTCATAGCTATTACTTTCAGAAAAGTATTTTGACTTCATTGAATTATTTTACAGGCATTTTGTGGCTATTATATTATTATTATTTTGAAATTGAAACTTTTTTCGCACATCATATTATTTTTCTCTTGGAGAACTAGTCATTTGAGTGCAACTATTAAAAAAAACTTATTAAAATGTTGTAAAGCTTTTTTTTTTAAATTTTTTTGTTAAATATTATTGAAGTGGCTGTAACACTCAGGAAATTTTGCTTTGGTTAGTATTATTATTACTAGCCCTAACCACTTTTAAAAAAGATAAAAAGGAAAAAAAAATATTAAAAATCCATCACGAACTCGGTGCCAAATCAGATATAAAAGTTTTTAGATACAAACAGTTTTGTATTATATTAATGAAGTCTTAAATTAAAAAATATTAACATTTAGAATTTTTAAAATATATTAAAGAAAAAGGTTTTTAATAGATTGGACAGAGGGTAAAGTTTTATTTTAGTTTTTATATTTTAAACTCAGGAAAATAAAAGATATAATACATTTTGTCATGCGCTATCCTTAAAAAAAGAATAAAAATTAAGAAACAATGTTCTAAACATATACTGATAAATTTATGATGTTATAATGGTTTAGCAATAAAAATTTGCCTTTGATTAAATGTGATATTATATAGGGAAAATTAAAAGGCAAATTTATGTATTTCTGTTGTATAGTTAAATACATTCTTATTTCTCTCACTTCTATAATTTATACCAAAGAAGTAGTAGTTTAAAGTAACTAAGGAGATATGTATTTTTCTGATGAGAGGTCTCCTTTAAGATATGTTACTTCCGTTTTAAAATATGCTGCATATGTTTTTGAACTTCTAATAATTTTTTTTTTAAGGATACCTGCGAGGACAATAATAATAACAGTTGCTGCCTTTCTTTGTTCAGGAAATTTATTAGTTTGCCAGGGAATAATTTTTTGTTTGTATCCTTCTCCTTTTATGAGTTAATTTTTATTTTGTTGTGACTGTTCTGCATAAAGTTGATTGAATTAAGGCTTAAAAGTTTTATTCATTATTCTTAAGGGTCTATTATCTTTCAATGTTCTTTGTTTTTCTACTTATATTTTATTGCTATTGCACTTTTTACCATTAATTATGTAATGGCAGCCTGTTATGTTTATAGATTTTTTTTTTTAGCCACTCTGACTTACTTCTTTATTGATATTTTTAATTCTGCAAATCAGATTCAAAAATCAGAGTATAAATTATAAATACTATAAAGCTCAGGTATATTAATGATCGCCCTTATAAGGCTTAAAGTGAAAGTAGCCTGCGTTCAAGGGATTCGCTAACTCCTATTCCTAGTCAAAGCAGTTTTTATTTTTTTTTTTAAGTTTAATCTTTATTATTAATTTCTCTTTAGGTTTTAAGTCAATGCCGTTAATTCAGTATTTCATATTGTGTTCTTCAACAATTAATCCTCAGTACTCGGACCAGATCTGATCTACTATTTTTGTGATTTTTTCCTAATATTTTTTTCATCACCTTAGAGTTATTATTATGTAAATATTTTCACAATACAAGTAAACAAATTTTTTTATCATAAAAATTTGTTTATACAGGAATCAACCTCAGGATATTATTAACATTTTTGTACAGATTTTTATTAATTAATTTTATATATACATATAAAAGTATATATATATATAAATATATAGTAATAAATTTATTGTAGGAATAAAGATAACGATTTATAATGCGTATGAAAACAAATGAAACGTTAATGAGCGGTTAGGATAAACGGTTTGTTGATGTAATGAAATATATTTTGCCGTGTTTTCCTTCTGCTGCTATTCCGCTGCAGTTCTAGTGAGTGCTCAGCTCTCACTGTTCATCTCAGGTAGTTTTCACTGTACAAATCGGCGTTTTATAATAGTAATATATAGAGATTTTTATAATGGTATTTACTTTAAATTGCATTATAGGAAAACAATCTATTTGTGGCTGTACCATTAATAATTTCATTATGTTCCCATATTATCTAATAGTGATACTAATTATATTTAATAGAAGCAACATATACAACAATATCATATAAATATATATATTTTTAATATATTTACATATAACTTTAATAATCTGTTTTAAGTTTTTATAGTTTTATATATTTAATATAAATATCAGGAATATATCATAGACAATATTAAATAATGTACCACTGTTTTACTGACCAATCAAAATTGAGATGTCAGTTTTCTCCATTAATCAGAACAGATTCTGTTAATGTCGTAATTATCCAAATGCTGTGTACAAGTGATTACATCTAAGCATAAGTAGTATAATGTTTCAGTGAAGCTTATCTGTGATGTCATAATTGAATTTTATTCTTTATATTTAGTAACTGTACTTAATTTGCTATCAACTTCTTATCTCATTCATTGTTATTATTTGCCGCTCTACCTCTTTATTTTTATTATTTTTTAAATAGTACAATGGCTTTCTTCTTATACCTCAATAAACTATGCTATTCTCTACTAAGTATAATATAAATGTGATGATTGCCAGTTGTTCATTGTTATTTAGATAACAATATATATTATATAATTATAAATATAAATGCATATATATATATATATTTAAATATGTAAATAATAGCTAGGTATATTCAAACTAAATAAAGAAATAGATTGATTATTAGGAATAATGTAACATAATCCGAGTGCAGTAATTGAAGGTTGTGTTATTATGGGTACAGCCACATGTTTTTTAAATTCCTTTATTGTAAATGTTATGTTGTTAATGCTAAAAGGTTTGCTAATATAGATAAAACGGGTTCGTGTGGTATTTCTGTTGTCTGCACTGCTCTCATCTTTACATAGATCCTTCATCATGTTTTCTTTATCTTTCCTAATTATTTCAATTTGTTGTTCCATTTTCCATTTTCACTGTTAAAGAGATAAAGACCACATGGACGAGGATTCCGCTGTTGTTTATTTTAGCCATTTTATCGGCCTGATATTCTGTCAAATAAAGCCCATATAATATTTCTTATCTCAGGTGGGGCATTTATCTTCAGATTTCAGAGATTGTTATTTTTGTTTAAACAGACTCCTCCATTCTATTATATTTTTGTTGTGCATTAAATAATGTTAGTCTATATATTTATAAAATAAATTGCAGTGCAATTAACTCAAGTGTCTTGATCATCTCTGCTGTGGCTTATTGATTGTAAGTGACTTGAACGTTTTATTAGAATAATCATACTTCTACCACTTTGCTTATATTTTCCACTTTGCCAATATTTTTGTAAGTTAACTCGATTTTGGAACAGCCATAACTAAATATTCTTTTGAGAACCATTTGAGGACTGGTGATTTGAGAAATGGTTAGAATCAATGAGGAAGAAAAAAAAATGTTTACTACTAAACCTGCTTGTGCAGTAGCATTATCTCTTCATTTATTTATTTTTTCATTTTGTATCTTGTTTATGTGTGTTTCTAACAATTAATATTAAAAGATATTTATTATCGAGTATTCAACATTTTCTATAAAAGATACAAAAAAAAATTAATAAAAAACTTAAGTTTTGATTAGATGTTACACTTACTGTTTGTTGTTCGGTGTTTAAAAAATTAATAAAAATTATTGTGTACAGTGGAAGAGGAACTCTTTTGTTGTCCGTAAGGCAGTTATTTTAAAATTTATTAAACCAGGGTATGTTTGGCATTTACTTAGGTGATAGTATGTTTCATTTCACATTAGTCTGTATAAATGAGCATGTGTGCTTTCTCTATTTCAGCTTGTCCCTCTTATCCTTTGCTAACCATATCGTGTATATTTCATTATATACTTTGTTTTCAACTGTTGTTTCCTTTCTTAATAGTAATTCAGATGATAACATTTTATGTTTGTGCATTAGCTCTTTCTGCCCATCCTGTTGATACTGTGTTGTAAATAGGTGCTCACTGCCAAATACATGCAAATAATACTTGCAACTCTTAGTACAAACTACCTAAATAAACAAAATAAGGTATACATTGGAATTTATCGATGTTTCAATCTTTCTCTTCTTACTTATAAAAATATACCTCTCTTTTTGAACTTATTCTATACGTAGTATTTAGGTAAGACTTAGGTGACAGATTGGCAGAATGTACTTTGTTGCATCTGTCACATAATGCTATATATATATATATATTTATAAATAAATATATATAAGTTTGTCTATTATGTGTAAGTGGTAATTGTTTTATGATAGGGTTCGCAACTTTTGTCCGTGTATCCGCCTAAGGTGAATGAGCGGGTATTTACATTTATTACGGGTCAAGTTCGAATCAGATTTA